GAAAAAATATCGAACTGTGAGACTGAAGTATCGAACCGAACTGAACCGTGAATTTTCTGTTTGTTTTTGTGCTTCGGGGATTTCACAGTACTGCACTTTATCAATTTTATTTATTTGGGCTGCTTATTTGGAATGCACTTTAATGTCTCCACATTATTGACATCARTTTGTCTTTTGGCTCATCTTCAAATTGTTTAATCAAATTTGCCTTGAGTGCATTGGAATAAAAAAGAAAGCAACATTGATGCTAATAAATATCCACTGAGACCTACTGAGTTGAGGAATCTCCAGTGTTCCCATCAAAGTCTGTTCAGTACTGCAAGCCTCCGGGCGAACAGAGCCTCATGTTTCTGTTGAGCATAGTTTTCCTTTAAGCTTCTCCTGTTGTAAAGGTTCAAACCTGTTGTAGGGAGAATACACTTTTTTTTATTGAGAAAGCTGCATGGACACAGCACAACACCTCTTTATGCAGCTGAATCTGAGTTTGCAAAATGCAGTAAAAATTACATTTTATAGATAATTTTTAACGAAGAAATACAGTAAATCTTGCCATTTTTAAAGCATTTCTGCAGCATGAAAGCAACACATGAAATATTAAGCCAACATCTGACCAAATTAAAATGTGCAGCTTTTACCTCTKAGCTGCAGGTGCACTACTTAGTAATTCATGCATATGTTTGGGTGCATTGAATGGTTTGCTTTGTGAAGCTGGCAGTATCATTTCTATAACCAATGCACAAACATTCATGAGAGTAAATGTACTCTTGCTCTGTAGTGTTGTCCCAGTGGTTTTCAGCACAGTCATTTTTTTTGACTGACTTCTCCTTCCAGAGTTTCTAAGCGGTGTATTTGTGTATGTGGATGTGTTTGGCAGAAGTGAAGGTTTATTTTGAAGGACTAGAGGCGGTGTCATTCATTCCAGGGGTGTAAACAAGAGGACATCAGGGTCAGCTATGTGAATGTATAATGGAGTGGCAGCATGTGACACGTTAGCATCTGTTAGACAGAATGGWAGCTCAGAGGGCAAGCACGTGTTCCGCAAACAACATTGTGATATTTGTTCACAAAGTGTATCCTTGCTACATACAGGATATTTTTTACTTTTCTGTTAGGTGCGATTTTCAACTTTTCCTTCTCCAGTCTTCTTTGTCTTTTACCTAACCCCTARTACATCCTGTATTGTCCATCCTTACATTGTCTCCCCTCTCACTCAGCCTTTCACTCTCTGCCATCTTGCTATATGATTAATAAAAGATGGGGTCCCCTGACCTTGTCATGCAGCCACATGAACAAATAGACATAAACTACAATGACATGCACACACAACAGGTCTTCAAGAGTACATACACATGCATGAGTAATCGTTTTTTTCAACTKCTTTACTAACTACAGTATATATGAAACCTCATCAAAATCATAATCCCATAAGATACTGTGTGAATAATGATTCTGCATCCTGTTTTTATGTGTATTTTCTCATTGCGTTTGTAATCTAACTGCTTTACTGTCCAGTTTAGCTGTTTGTCAGTCAAAAGGTTCATCTCATTCAAGCCATAGTTGCTTTAAATTTTGGTTTTTGCAACAGTTATAGTTTTCAAAACATCTAACATCATTTAAGAATATTTTCTTTTTTTTATTTAAGAATATTTTCTCCAAAAGAGAGAGAGAGCGAGGAAAAAATAATAAATAAATAAAAATAAAGAATATTTTCTCCATAAAAATACACTGAGACATATTCATTTAATTAAAATGAAGACCAATTTGTTTTGTACGCACAGTGTTCTGGGATAAATTGAACTGAAAAAATAAATGTTTATGAAATTAAGTAATTTTTAAAATGTCTGCAAATGAAATTAGGTAAATGCTGAAGACAAGTGTCTCCATGGACATACAAACAAAACATTTTGAGTTAAGAAAAACAGAAGCTAAATGTTTTTCCTCTTTTTAGGTCAGGAAACAATCTGCAATGAGAACACAAACTGAAAGTCCCCTCATATGTCACTATTAAATATTATTTGTCAGTAGTAATTCAAAACATGGTAAGAAGGGAAAAAGAAATTAGATTGCTAAAAAATTCAATGTAAACAGCTGTGGATTTTAGCTTTCCTTTTTTGTGCTTATATAGTGTTATCTAATTTACTGCTTGATTTTTCACAATAATCTTGTTTTCCTCTGTGTGGGATGTAAACACAGACATTGTGCCAAGGAGGCAGTAGCAAAGGCTGTTAAGGTGATGCAACAAGAAATTTACACACAAGATATTTGATGTTGCAAGAAAAGAAATGTGAACTAAAGGATAGCAGATGAGCATGTCCTTAATTTCTTTTTCTTTTTATAACTGCAGCAAKATACTATTTATATAAAAACAGAAATAGACAGTTTAAGTTAAATCCAAAAAAAGACAAGTCAAGGCCTAATCATGAACAAAATACATGTTTATTTGTAGGCTTTCTTTGTTTTGGTGTTTCTTGTTCACATTTCCT